TACTTCTCTAATTTAGTGTCAGTTGGAAACTCAAAACAAAGTAATTTTATGAAAACTCTTTGCAAGTTCCAAACTGTTCCACAAATATGAAGAATTGTTATTACTGGTTTATAGCATGGACTGTTGCCCTTAAAAGGGAAGACTGGGCATTTACAGTTTAAGGGTGTTGTGACATTAGACACTTGAGAGAGATAGGGAAGAAAGGGCCTATAAATGGAGTGTGGAAATGTCATAGTTTCCAAACTTAGATGTGAACTGGACCATTATTGTGAAGCAAGACCTGTCGGACAAACAGCTCTGGCTTATGAAGACGGGGTTGCATTAGTGGGGAGATCAGGATCAGAGAAGGCTGCCTCTAACCTGATTTATTTTAAATACTTACTTTCCTCCTTTCTTCTCAGAAAGTTTCCCTAGCTTTTTCCTCTGTTGTTGTTTTGATTGCCTTTGTGTCAAGCAGGACTCATAGCGGCCCTATGAACAAAACTCCTGAAGCCCCTCTACAACTATCAACATTATCAAAGTTCATAGAGTTTCCAGACGCATGTTGTTTAGGAAGTGGATGCCACTCTTACTTTCACTAGAGCTTTTTCCTCTAGTTACTCTGTTCCTTTCTCTGTCATGCACTCACACAGATAATACTTCTGTCTCCTGAGATTACACAGGAGAATATATTTATGCCAGTAAAGGTTCTCTGTTGCAACACCTTTTTTTAACCAGACAGAAGAAATGTGACAAAGGTCACAGTGCTGATTAGTGCCTGAAGCAACCCTGATCCTTTCTTTTACCTCCATTTTACAGCAAATCTTTTCAGTTACCTACATATAGGCCATAGTCTTCGCAATTGCTTGCTATGCATCAGAAAAGTGGACAATGACTAGGGATGATAGAAAGAGAATTGGTGCCTTTGAGCTGTGGTGCTGGAGAAGAGTATTGAATATACCATGAACTGCTAGGAGAACAAACAAGTTCAACCTGAAGAGGGTGAAACCAGGCTGCTCCTTAGAGGCAAGGATTCTGAGGCTTTATCTGACATACTTTGGACATGTTGCAAGGAGGGCCCAGTCCTTGGAGAGGGACATCATGGTAGGAAGGGTGGAGGGACAGCACAAGAGAGGAAGACTCTTGATGAGATGGATTGATTCAGTGACTGGGGTAATGAGGGTATGTGTGTCAGAGACAATAAGGTTGGCACAGGATAGAGCAGGTTTTAGGGCTATTATTGTACCTAGGCTCGCTATGAGTCGCAAGTGACTCGATGGGTGGCACATAACAACAGCTGGAAGTTGTCTCCAATCATTGAGAAACTCTCTTCAGATATTGGTATAGTAGCCTTATTGAAAGTACCTTTTAAAATGGCCTGCCACAACTCAGCCCTCAAAGGGAAGCCAAGCTCTGCATCCTAAAACTTCTTTTGCCTTTCAGGTTCCAAAGCTGTTTATATTGGTTACCTGGCAACCAACTCTTTAGAATTCCATGGATGTGCTTACAGAGCTTACAGTTTTAGACAGGCACAGTCTCTGCTTTTTTATTAAATTTTCTTTGGGAAATTACAGTGTATTTGAGGGTTTGTAGTTTAATGGTTTTCTAGGTCATGTTTTGAAAAATAAACCTCTACATAAGGCTTGTGTAGCTCATTTCAATCCCCCACCCCTACCCCCAACCCGTACAAGTTCATAAATCCTGCCTGGGAAGGAGCAGAGTGGGGAATGCATGAACTCTGGTCTGCTTCAGGTTACCAGGCTAACAGCACAAATGATGAAGTGGGAGAAAGAAGTCTTTCTGACCTTTTCCAGTCTCTGATGGCATAGTCCCTAATGGGTTATGCTAAGCCAAAGGGCACACCTCTCAGGCAGTTTGAATCCACCAGTGGTTCCACAGGAGGAAAATGGGTAATGCCTTCCCATGTAATTTAGTCTTCTGAAAACCCACTGGAGGGTCTGCTATGAGTGAGTTCCTATTCAATGGCAATGAGCTTGAGTGCTTTTGAGTTTTCACTTTCTCAGCCTCTACTTAGTCTCTTTCCTTCATAGAAGTTCAATTCTCCTGTTCCCCGAAAGCTGGTTAAATTATAAGCCAATAACATTATTTCAACATTTTTATAACAGTACTATTAAGGAATACTTCAGGTCCTGTATTTCTATCAGGCCTGCAAATAATAATAATAACAAAACAACAATACAGGTTTTAAATGGTTGGCTTGTGAAAAGAGCTAATTTCTCCTGGTGGCCAGTGAAGATCTCCAGACTCTGTCTAGTTGACTGAGTTATTCCAGTGCTCACTGTTTCATTTCCATTAATCAAAACTCATTGCCATTGATTTGATTCCATGGACAGTCTAGAGCTGCCCCATAATCTTTAGGACTGAAGGATGTAATCTGCCCCATCTTTCTCCTCTGGAGCATCTGGTGGATCCAAGCAAAAGCCTTTGTTTAACAGCTGGTTGCTTAATCATTACACCACCAAAGCTCTTTTGGGGAAGCTCTTAAGCATGAGTATACTGGGAACAGAGAAATCCAGGTTTTGTGGAACCTGAACTTTTTATAATATGCAAGTTTGCCTAATTAAAAAGAATACAAAAGTAGGGATGTAAAGTCAGGTACAAGGCCTAAAAGGGGCCTGAAGTTTAAAACTTCATGCAAAATCCACTATTTCTTGGAAGGAATATTCATTCACTTACTGCTGTGGAGTCATCCAACTTGGAGTGCCTTTCTATCCAGTTTGTTGCTGTTATTATGTGCTGTGGAGTCAACAATGACTCACAGAAGCCTATGAACAATGGCTCTGAACCCTGCCCTATCCTGAGCCAACCTCCCCATCTCTGGCACACTTGCCCCCATTACCACAGTCACTGGGCCAATCCAGAGTCTTTCTCTCCTGTGCTGACTCTCTACCCTTCCAAGCATGATATTCTCCAAGGATGGGTAACAAGCCCAAAGTATGTGAGATGGAACTTTAAAATCCTTGCCTCCAAGGAGCAACCTGGTTTCACCCTCTCAAGGACAGACCTGTTCCCCCCCCTTTTAGGCTGTTCTTAGTATACTCAATATTCTCCTCCAACACCACAACTCAATGGCATCAATTCTTCTTCTGTCATCTTTAGTCATTGTCCAGCTCTCGGATGCATAGCAAGTGACAGAGAAGGCTATGACCTGGATTGGGTGCACCTTAGTCTCTAGACTGACACTGTTGCTCTTCAGAGCTCTGGGGAGATCCTTGACAGCAGATTTCCCCAGTGCAACTCACCTTTTTATTTCCTTCTGATTTACAAGGGATTAAATTGCAAGGAGAGGAAATTGCTGATATCTTTCCCTTGGTGCTGTTAGAAGATTTGAACTGCAGGCCACCACCTTTAGGTTGGTGGTGTAACTTGGTTCAGACTACACCACCAGAGTTCTTTGGATGGAAGGAATAGTTTAGGGGGAAATGACATATATTTAAAATGAGAAATGACTCGAATGTGCTTTAATAGGGCAGAGTGAAATCCCTGTGTAGGAAATCAATAACTGTATTAAGTTGTTTAACACTTTTTTATTGGTTTGCTTACAAAGTTCATATATGTTGTGTTTCATGCTACTATTATTCACATTGTTTTTCATACAATCATTGTTACAAAACATTATGTTTTATAAAATTAATCTCCAGTAGACCTTGCTCATCATTACTCTTTTGCCTGGATCTTTCCCATTTCCTTTCCTGCCTTTCTCCACCCACCAAAATGTGCAACCTGTGGTTTCACCCCATGCCCATCATCAGCCCTCCCCCTCTTGAGTTTTCCTAGTTATCCTTCTATTTTTTACAGTAATGGTCGTATGCAATATTTGTTCTTATGAGACTGTGTTAGTTCACTTGGCAACATTGCTCTCCAGCCTCTCCTAAGTTACATAGTATTTTTCAAAATCATTGTTCAGTGAGTGCTGCATGATATTCCACTGTGTGAATGTACCACAATTTCTCAATCCATTGGGCTGTGGCTGGACATATGGGCTGTTTACATGTCCTTGTGATGGTAAATAAAACTGCTAAGAACATTGGTGTATAGTTCTCCATTTGTGTCTCAGTTTTAATTTCTTTGGAGTATAATCCTAATAGTGGAATAGCTAGGTCATAGGGACTTTCTATGTAAAACTTTTTTTAGGAAATGCCACACTGTCTTTTAGAGTGGTTGCATCATTTTACAATCCCACCAACAGTATATGAGAGTTCCCACCTCTCCACCATTTATTGCTTGCTGCTCTACTAAACTTTGCCAACTACTACTGGGGTGAGATGCTATCTCATTGTGGTTTTGATTTGCATCTCTCTTATTGCCAGTGATTTTGAGCTTGTCTTCATGTGTCTGTTGGCCACCTGAATTATCTGTGAAAAGTCTCTCCATGTCTTTTGCCTATTTTGTAAGAAATGAAACTCACAGGTCACCTATTAAGACACTAGACTTAAGCGTGTGACTGGTGTGCAAGATAAGCAGATATATAAATAGGGAGAAACAAATCACCAGGGTTCCGATTTTTTTTTAATAAAATGTCTGATTTATAATTGGTATGAATTACTCAACAAAGTGAAAAACTCAGTTATGGACCTGCATTCTTTGAGATGGCAAGCTCTTGATGATGGCTGTTCCCTGGTTGCCAGGTTCCTTGAGAGACAGCCCCAGCACTGCTTACTCTTCAGTGCTCACAGCATTGAGAAGCAGAATTGGAATGTTCTTTTCAGCTGGAAAGGTTTTCGATAACAGAAAACTTTAGGCGAGTTCGTGTTTTCTTTCTTGCTTTCTGCTTTCAACAGTGCATTCCTGACTGGGAGGGGATTCGCTTACTCAAGTCAGCTGAGCAGGCTGCGAGCGGCCTTGTGGGTTCCAGGCGCTTAGCCTGCAGACAGCGGGTCCGCCGCTAGGGGTTTTTAACAAGTCTGACTTTGTCCACAACAAAAATAAGAATCTAAGTCACAGGATGATAGCCTCATTCCCCGCCGTCCTACGAACGACGTGGACTTGCCAAAAGGTGTGTCTGTCACAGCTGAGAGTAGGTAGCCTGGTCTCTTGGATCCCGACCCGGATGGCGGCCACTGTGACCATAGAGCCCGCGGGCCTCTGCTGCTGGGACGAGCCGGTGCGCATCGTGGTGCGCGGCCTGGCCTCGGAGCAGCCGGTCACGCTGCGCGCGTGCCTGCGCGACGAGAAGGGCGCGCTCTTCCGGGCCCACGCGCGCTACTGCGCGGACCGCGGAGGTGAGCTCGACCTGACGCGCACGCCCGCGCTGAGCGGCAGCTTCGCGGGGCTCGAGCCCATGGGGCTCTTCTGGGCCCTGGAGCCGGAGGAGCCTCTGCTGCGGCTGGTGAAGCGGGACGTGCGGACGCCGTTCGCGGTGGAGTTGGAGGTGCTGGAGGGCCACGAGCCGGAGCCCGGGCGGGTCCTGGGCCGCGCGGTGCACGAGCGCGCCTTCCTGCGGCCCGGGGTGCGGAGAGAGCAGGTGCGCGCGGACCGGGTGCGCGCCACGCTCTTCCTGCCGCCAGGTGAGCGACCGTTTTTGCTAATTGTTTCTGTTTCCATTCATTTGTCTCACCTGTTGTGAATGGAGGGAGGAAGTAGCTCCCACATTCCTGAGCTCCGGGAAGACATCCTGGAGCGAGAGTGTAATATAATACATGCTAGGGAGGGGGCGCCTTCACTTCAAGTTTTCTATTATTATGTATCATCGTGTCGGAACCACTCCTTGCAGACGCTCCAGGACTTTTCTGTCAATTGCCAGAGAGTTGATTGCGCATCTTTCTCCTGCGGAGCAGCTGACGGATTCACATTACATACCTTTGCATTGACAGCGCGCTTTAACACTAAGTCATCAGCGCTTCCTAAAAACTCTCTCTCTGAAGGGTAATTAAAACCCATCGGTCAGCTAGATTTAGTAGTTGTGTATCGTCCAGTCGGAACCGACCCACCCGGACTGAGAGTGGAAATTAAGCCATGAGAGCTCCCTAAGAACCATAAGGGTCCAATGAAATGTTTATCTTCATGAGTAATCTGAAAACTGCAAGATACCATTTGATACTTTATAAAGTGGCAAGTTTTACAAATCTAACAAGACAAATGTGTGGGGGTAAAAAAGTGCTTACAAGAAGTAGAATTAACATCCACTTCGGGAAACAAATATGCCTTTACTTAGAAATGGACTGTATCATTCCACTCTTGGACAGTGAGCCAAGAGGTTTAGTAATGAATGTCCACAGAAGCATTGTTTGCATAGCAAAACGGAAGGAAGTGACCCGTAGTTGTTACTGAACACAAGGGGTTCTTTCCGTAGTCATTTGGCAGTAAGACTGACGGATTGCAATATCTATAAGCACTTTATTAAAAATCTGGGAGAAAGCAGATCTTTCTCAAACACAGACTCCCTATTTCTGGTCATTACATTTTTATAGGAGGGACAGATAGTAACTTAACAATACACTTTTGTTAGTAAAATTACAGAATTTCTACATTTAAAAAGAACAGTTCATATGTAAGTACTAGTGATTCAGGAAAGGCACATTTTTCTTAGTGGTAAACAGGCAGAGTAAGATACAATTTGCACTATGACTGGGAAAAACAACTTCAAAGAGGTAAACTCAGATCTAGGAGAGATGCATTTCCTCTGCTGGTAAACAGACAGATTAAACTAATTTACATAACTAAAGAAAGGAAACAATTCTAAGGCTAAGTAACTAGTTTTGCAGGCTGGAGAACCCTGATGTCAGTTTTATAACTATAGTTGTGTAACTGATACATATTTAGAGAATTCTGAATTTATTAATACCACACCATCATAGTGAGTCCATCGAGTCGCAGGCGATTCATAGCAACCCTATAAATGAAAGACCTGAACGCTTGTATAACTTTCATCCTTTCTCCAGGTTCATAGGGTTTCCGAAAGCAAGCTATTTTGGAAGTGGATGCCACTTCTGCTTCCAAGCTTCTTGTTTACACAACCAAATGCGGTAGCAAAAATTATTGAATTACAGCACAAAAATCAATAAGAATGAGCTCTGAAAGTATTGAGTGAAACAAGTCCCAAAAGAACACATTCAATGTCACTCGTTAGAGAATATTTAAAAATAAAATAACATTTGAAATTCATTTTCATAGAGGCAAATGGCAAACAGACACATGAAGAAATGCTCCAAATCACTGGCAATAAGAGAGATGCAAATCAAAACCAGAAAGAGGTCCGTCTCACTCCAGTAACAGTGGCAAAGTTTAACAGGGCGCCAAGTAATAAATGTTGCAGAGGCTGTGGTGAAAAAGGAACTCTTATACATTGTGAGTGGAATTGTAAAATGGTACAAACCTTCTGGAAGGCAGTTTGACCCTTCCTCAAAAAGCTGAACATAGGAATTCTATATGACACAGCTATTCCACTACTTGGAATATACCTTGAGAAAATGAGAACTGAGGCACAAACTGAGATTTGTACACCAGTGTTCATAGCAGCATTATTCACCATCGCAAGAACATGGAAACAGCCCAAATGTCCAACTACAAACGAATGGATTGAGAAATTATGGTACATTCATACAATGAAATACTATGCAGCACTCAGCAGCAATGATTTTGTAAATTATTACTTAACTTGGGAGGGACTGGAAAGCATTATTATTATTATTACTATGAGTGAACTCAGTCCCACAAGGATAAATATTGTATAAAACCATTATTATAGAATGAGTATAAGGAACCAAGAGTGGTGGGAGAGGTTGGAAGCAGAAGGATATGTGCCCGGGAAGGGGGGATTGATCATGGGGTTGTACAATTTGATGGGAGTGTGTGAGGGAATTGACACAATTTGTTCGTAAAAAAAATACACATATAAGACATACATTTAATTTACAAATAACATTTAAGACACACATATAATTTTTATTTATACTGCAGAGATAAACACTGATCTATGGGGCATACTTGGAAATAGAGGAGTGCTGTGGTGTTACTACCAAACTACTAAGCGGAGAGTTTGGTATACAGTATTTTCTACATTATGCTTCTTTAAATTGTAAGCACATGTAAAATACATGGTAAAAATATCCAATTATCCCAGAACATTTCCATTTGCGAGCCCAAGGCCTACGTCCTTGCTTTATTTTATTTTTTTAAAAATTTATTTATTTATTTATTTTTATGTCCTTGCTTTATTATAAAAAACTTAGTATTATTTTGGGTGTTGGAGGTTGAAACGTTGAGAAATTAACCTTTTTTTAAAAAAAATTAACTCTTGTATAATAAAAATATTACAAGAATGTCTTACAATGATATGCCTCCTTCCTAAGCTAGAAATTTTTTGGTACTTTATGCGGTGTAAGGGCAAAGTTTGTCATGAAGCAGTTTATCAGCGTGCTTCTTGACATTGGTAGTACTCCCCCACCCTGTATCAGCACTTCTCCCATTTCCCACCTTGGGTTCCCCATTTACCCAATTTTCCTGCTTTCTTAGTTTTGTTTTTGGCAGTAACTGCTGCCCTTTTGGAATGCAGTTGTGCACACCACTAAACCAACAACAACACATATACTGACCACCCTTCTGTTACTAAAGGCAAGCGGTTCTTTCCACAGTCAATTGCCAATAAGACAAACCGGATTGAGATATTCATAAATGCACTTTATTACAGATCTGTAGAGGACAGTGGGTCTGGGCCTCAAAGACTGCCTACCCTGTCTGGGAGTGGCCATCAGGTTTTATACTAGGGTGAAACTAGCTCATTTAATAATGCACTTTTGTTAGTTAAAAAAAGGTAATTAAGATACAATTTACAAATGACTTGGAGAACCAGTGCTTCAGCAGGATCTAGGATAGATGTATTTCCTCTTCTGGTAAACAGACAGATCAAACTACTTTACATGACTAAAGACAGGAAGCAGAGAATCTGGAGGCTAAGTAAGTAGTTTTGCAGGCTGAAGAAATCTGATGTTAGTTTTATAATTATTTAACTATAGTTTTATAACTGATACGTACATAGAGAATTCTGAACTTAGTGAAACCACCCTGTCACTTCTAGTCTTTCCTATTTGAGTGTTCCAAGAAGGATGGGCGTCATTGCTCCTACTGTTTCCTGGTTTGGTCTGGTTACCTCTGGCTCCTGTTGACTCTGTGTCCAACAAAACAAGACAGTGCCGGCTTCTGCAGCATCCTCACACGTGTGCGTCAGTCCGTCATGACAGTCTGTTGAGGATCTTCCTTATTTTCCAAGCATGATGTCTTTCTCCAGGGACAAACCCTTACTGGTAACATACCTAAAGTATGTAACACAAAATCTGAGCATTCTGGCTAACTTTTTCCGGACAGATTTGTTTGTTCTTTTGGCAGATCATGGCACATTCAATGTACTTTGTTAACATCACAATTGAAAGGCATAAATTCTTCTTTGGTTTTCTTTATTCTTTGTGTGGCTAAAAGGTGATCCCTGGAAGTGGTTTTGAAGGGTGGATATTAATAAGTTCAGAATTTTTGAAATATGTATCAGTTATAAAACTATAATTATGTCTTTCTAAAACTGACATTCGTTTTCTCTAGCCTGCAAGACTTTGCCTTAGAATTCTTTTTTCCCTTTCTTTAGTCATGTAAAGTATTTTAAACTGCCCATTTACCAAGAGAGGAAATGCATCTTTCTTAGATTAGCATTTACCTCTTCGAAATTGTTTTCCCAGTCAAATGTAAATTGTATCTTTTTTTTTATTTATTTTTTTTTT